TAGCTTTTTGAAAATAAATATAAGCTTACGCAGTCTAGTATTTAATACATCCAGATGCCGTTTAAAAGAGAGAGTTTCGTCCAATATAATGCCGAGGTATTTAACATGAGTGGCCCGGTTAATGATAGGGCACAAGCATTGGTTGGGAATGTTACAATAATGGGCATGCAATGGTAAGACAATACTTGATTTTTCTTTTCGTATTGAAAATTTGATGAAGTGCGTTTTATCTGTGTTTAATGTCAGTGAGTTACAACGAAGCCAATTATTTACATTATTAAAACCGTTTTGCGCAAGCTTGTAGACATCAGTTTCCGAGTCAGCTGAAAATAGTAGAGCGGTGTCGTCAGCGTATGACACAATCGTACCGTGTTCCAGATTGAGATTGCATAAATCATTTATGTAAATTAAAAACATCGTAGATGATAGTATGCTCCCCTGGGGCACACCGTAAGGGGTAGTTTTTATATCATCGCTGACGACCTTACCAATTCTTACGCACTGAGTGCGGTCTTCTAAATAACTTTGAAAAAGTTTAAGCTGAGTTCCTCTTATACCAATAGTTTCCAGCTTGCGCAACAGCACAGGAACAGAAATTGTGTCAAAAGCCCTGGCGAGGTCCAGAAAAACTCCCAAAGTGTGGTTACCCTTGTCAAGTTCTTGCGTTATATAGTCAGTCACATAGTGTACCGCGTCAGCTGTTGATAGTCTCGGTCTAAACCCATATTGCCGCTCCGATAGAATTGATCTATCCTCCAGATATTTGAGAAGTCTAATGTTTATTATTTTTTCCAGTATTTTAGACATAGATGGCAGCAGAGAGATAGGTCTATAGTTTTTTACTTGCTCTTTACTGCCTGTTTTATATACTGGAATAATAACGGACTTTTTAAGACACGCGGGAAAGACACCTGATGATAAACATAGGCGGAAAACATAGGTCAGAGGTGGAATCAAAATGTATCTAAATTGTTTCAAGATTTTGTTGGAGATATTGTCCCAGCCAGCAGCACTGTCATCTTTTAAAGTCATAATTATATTGTTAATCTCAGTCTCGTCAGTGTTTATCATTGCAAAGGATGTTAAGGGGGTGCACTTCTTTGGGGTACTTGGTTGAGAAACATATCCCTGGATTTTTTCTGCCAGACTTTTGCCAACATTAGCAAAAAAGTTATTAGTCATATTAGCGGCCGCATGCGGTGTCGAATATCCTTCTAATAAACCTGAGGATGACTCACTTTGTTTGGAAGCGTATGTTATGTTTTTAATGCATTTCCAGATTTGTTTACTATTTGTGCCAGCCTTTTCTAGTGTATTTTTATCGTAGTTACTTTTAACTTTTTTAAGCAGATCATTACAAAAATTTCTGTATCGCTTATAAGATAATTGTAGATCCATATTGCCTGGATCACGTCTGGCTTTAGTGTGCAGTTTGTCTCTATGTTTCATACACCTGATAAGGCCAGGCGTAATCCATGGTTTTATGTTATGATTTTTATTACGTAACTGTATAAGTTCTGAGTTTTGCTGGATTGCATGACGCACACTTTCTATAACATACGTCATGCAATACTGCGGGTCGGTAGAATTATAGACTGGCTCAAAATCGATGACGCGTAAATCTTCCTCAAGTTTCTTTAATTGCAATTTAGTAACTAGGCGAGTATTTGGTTTAGGTAAAGTACAATTTAAGGTTAGTAGGACAGCATTATGATCGGTTATAGTTGAGTTAGTAACAAGTGCAAGTGCGCGGTAATCTGATTTTAGTATGATGTGATCTAGGCAGGAACCTTTTTGATGTGTAGACAAGGTATGCGTGGGGAGTAGTCCATGTAGCGCGCATACATTGAGATATTCCTGAGCAGACGCATCAGCACTTTCCGGCATAATATTAATGTTAGTATCTCCAAGCACAACTATATTTTTGAAGGGTGTAAGATTCTGCAAGGTATCACTTAAAGAGTTGGTAAAATTTTGCGTGCTTTTAAATGATGGTGATCGGTATAATGCTAAAACTGCAAACTCTGAGCCGATTTTAAGTAATAATCTGGAGCAGTCGTGCATATTCGGTTCCACTACAGATATATTAGGTAGGTAATCCCTTGCATAAATTATCACTCCATCATTTTGGTTGTAATGTTTACCACTACAATACATATTATACCCAGGTATTAGTGGTATGTTATTCTGTTTGGCAAGCCAGCATTCTGTTAATACAATTATGTCACAGTTTATATCTAATCTATAAAGAAGTGTGCTAAGACTGTCAAAATTTTTGAAAACACTACGGATATTTTGAGTTAGTATTGTTAGTGGTGTGTTAAAGCTAGACAGATGTCGTTTGCAGCTTTCAATTTCACAAACTTTAGAGTCAGACACAGAGAATTTGTCTAAATCATTAATAAAATTACTTACCATACGTTGTATATCTAAGAGTAGGACTAAAGATTATAAATTAAGTTGTAGCGCTCTTAGGCGCCTCCATAGTCTACCGAGTTTATATACCTTTGTTCGGCCATGGTTTTTGCCGGACATTCAGTAGCACCTGTCGTGTGGTTGGCGGGCTTTTTGTAGTGCAGACAAGTTGCACATTTGGGTTCATCTGACTTCTTTGTGCAGTCCTTGATGGTATGGCCTTGTTCTCCGCAATGGCTGCAGGTAAAAGATGTTTGGCGACATGATTTAGCAGCATGTCCGTACTGCTGGCATTTATAGCATCTGGTCACCAGAGTGAAGTCTCGAACAGGGCAGGAAGACCAATTGATAAAAACTCGCTCTTGCGACATCAGGGCTTTACGGGTGGCTGCAGTTACCTCGATCACGTAATTACACGTCGCTGCATCTCTTCGGCCTGATTTATGGCTCATCTTAGTCGTGGACAGGAAAGAGTCCAGACTACAGTTCTCCAGTTTCTCTGCCAGATTCTGATGGTACAGACATGTTAGGGCTTCATTGTCGGGCATTGTAGATGGTACACCGATGATGACTACACGCGGATTTCTTTTTTTGGGCTCATCTACGGAAAGACCTGAAATAAAACAGACATTTTATAAATTGTCGCCATCATCGCTATCGCTATCGCCGTTACTCTATGTAACATTTATTATGAATTGTGTCTTTGATATTTATTGTCAATTAACATATCTAGCTTACTCATTTTTTCCTCTTCTTTGAAAACATGGGATACACATTTAGACCATTCGGTAGCCGTAATTTTTTGAATGCCGTCCTGAAACTGATTCACTGATTGTTTATTGATTTTTGTGTCCATCACTACACTGTTATATGTGGTATCATTATTTCACAAAATGGCAGTGTTCAATGTCAAATCAGGAATCGAATTAAAAGTCTGACTATAGCTGCTGTGCTATATATCGCGGGTTCGATTCCCGCACGAGACAACACTAATGTGATCCACAAATTGTTGTTTTGTGTCTTTGTAAAAGCACACAAAGGAGAAAATCCTAGTAAGGGGCAAAGTTTATTTTTTCTTCCATTTTATTTCTGTCAAAGAACACAAAAAAATATCATACACATCTACCTATGAGTACCCACTGCTGAACAAAGGTAGGTAAGGTACACGGTGAAGGTAGGGTAGGGTAGGGTAAGGTACACGGAGAAGGTTTTCATTGAGTATTAGATACTGTGATGCCCACAATGATGCCTAAATAATCATAGAGAGTACAATATAATCGCAGTTTATAAAACAAAAGGCAAATGGGCCGCACGGAACAGTAATTGAAGCCGGCTTGGTACACATGTGTGCATGACATAAAAACACTTTTTCTCGGTGGTTTTTTTTTTGTAATTGGAAAAGCTGGTGGTGCGTGAAGAGGAGAATTGCTCCCTCACGCGGTCCGCCTCCCTCCTTGCGAGCATAACTGCTTCACAGAAGGAGGAGACGGCGTCCCAGTTCCTCTCGCTCCGCACCATGGCCTCGACTATAGCCGGGCGCGAGAGGTCGCCGCCACCGATCACTACCCTGAGGACACGGCGGTGCTCAGCCCAGGCATGGTACACCGCCACCGTATCCTCTCCTCTATATGGTCCTGGCAATAACGACACTCGGGTGTTTCCTCCCGCTGGATCCGAAACTAGGAACCTACCGAAGCTGCCGTGCCCGGTAAAAAACTGCGTCAGGCGGCAGGTGAGGATGCTGTTCTGTTCTCTGGTCAAATTATTGGTCAAAAAGTACATACAAACATATCAATCAAAAAGTCATACAAACATATCAATCAAAAAGTGAGACTGCCAAAACATTATCGAAATATTTTTAAATAAATCGGTAATCCTGTTTCCCGTAGGTACATATTACCCAACTCAAGGGTAAAAGATTTCAAAGTAAACTAGCAACACCGACCAATGTTTGTTAAGGTTTTGTGTTCCAAGAATTAACTAAAAATATTTACACTGCCTTTTTATGTAATAGACCGTATTAATACGAGCTGATGGATTACCTGATGGTAAGCAATCAGCGTTGCCCATGGAGACCCATAACAGAGGAGTTACGAGTGCGTTGCCGACCTTTTGGGGAAAAGGGAATTTTGAGATTTAGGGATTGGGCCTCCGGTAACCTCACTCACACGGCGAAACACAACGCTGTGGTTATTTCACGCCGGTTTTGTGTGAGGCCTTAGTTTTGTAATAATAAATAGATAACAATTTAAAAAAGCCACATTGGTACTTACTAGGTTCGTTAAATAACATGTTGATAAAGATATAACAGGCCAATTAAATGTTTTATCAAGTTTTATGGCTTAACGTCAATACGTCAAATCGTCCCCTAAACTATGTTTTATAAATTGTTACCTAGTATACGGATTACCTAATGGTAAGCAACCGGCGCCGGTTTCTGTAGAAGGAAACTGAAGTTGTGGTGACACAAGGCCCGCAACGGACTTTCGGTTGACGGTTTCCTGTGAGGCCATCAGTTCGGTCGAGCCGGATATAGATTGCAGAAACTTAAATCGAAAGCCTTAGTCATAAAATGAAACAAAAAAAAAATACTTAAAAAATATAATTCATATCTCTTAAAAGTAAACACGCTGCTAATCAGCTTTCGATGAGAAAAAACAGATCACATAATTTTGACATTTAATTAGATACTTGAAAAGTAGTAATCCCCAAAAACAGTCAAGACATTTTTTTAGCAATTTTGCTCATTTTATAAGCTGGGGGCTACCCTGATCTCAGCTTTGCGGCCACCAGATGAAGCCACCTCCAGGATCCAGTTGGTGTATCGGTCGATCCTGGTGAAGATGTCAGGGAACTCATCATCAAGACAATCCTTGAAGAAAGAGGAGGATCCTACGATGGCGTTGTTGATCACCATGGGTGCGCCTGAGTCTCCCATACACATACCCTTACCGGCCGCTGCGGCGCAGATTACACCTGAAATAGAGAATGTGTGTGATTAATTGAAAAAATCAAAAATATATTGTCAGTTGTCTTCCACATGAAACATTTTTGGTCTTTATTCGTGTCAGTTATAAAATGTGTTTCGTAATTAACGAAAGTTGATTAGCGAAAGTTCTATGAAATTGTCATGAGTGTGGGAGAGCCATGATTTGGCACGAGGGGGCTAACACGACAGGAATGTTACCGCGTCCTCGTAAAAAACCCGCGTGAAATGACCACAGCGTTTTGTTTCGCCTTTTGAGTCAATTTACCGGAGGGCAAATCTCTAAATCTCCGAAACCTTAGTCTCTGAAATGTTGGCAACGTATTTGTAACGCTTCTAGCGTTGGGAGAGTTCATGGCGCCGACTGCTTAGGTACCATCAGGTAATCTGTCTCCTCGTTTACCGAAGTACCTTATAAAAAACTCACTGTCAGAAATCTCAACGCTGTCGGTGTCACCGTACACTGCTTGGCAGTCGGCAAGACTGAGCTTGTTCAGGAACACAGTCTTCAGGGTTTCTAGTTGAGGGCCGCTCTCCTGTTAAAGAAAATTGTTAATATTTAACCTTAAAATCGTGATAAATCGAGATACAATAGAATAACAATAGGTGCGCGAACGCACGTACCCATGCATGTATTTCAATCTATCAAGCTACAAGTAGTTCGGGTAGTTCGGCTTTGTACGAGTAGTTCGGTAGTATCTACTAAACATTTTAACTATATTTTATATGAACAATATACTTAATAAGAATTAAAATGTCCCACAGTCTTCTGTTTTTGGCTATTGGATCCTAATAAGTACCATTCTAAGAAGACTTAAGATGTTTATTATAACTTTCGTGAGACATACGAAATTTACCATATCTAAGTATGTTTGCGGCTTACTCACGTAATTGTTTGACGAGATACTCGACTAGTTTCAAGCCATGCTAGAGGCCCATATTCATGAGCAGCATTCCGAGTGGGCATGAGTAAGCCGCAAACATATAATTAACACTTAGATTCATAACTAGGACATATAATAGATTTTATGAACATTTAAATATTGACTCACTGATTCGAATCCCCAGCTGACGACCTTAAGAGATTGTCCGTCAGGGATGTAAGTGTTGGCGGGAGGCAGGTACAGAACGTTAATGACGTTGCTGAGGCCGAGGGGAGTCTTCAAAAAGGTCACTGCAATGTCATGGGACCGAGGCGTCTCCGTGTAGTCAGGGTGCTTCACAACATTGTCGATTTCCACTATAGTTCCACCAGAGAGGCTGTTCGTAGATCCAGCACGAATCCTCATGTTGTCTAGATTGGCGCCACTGTCGATAATTGGAAATTGGTCATTATAGTGTATATGTTACATTTTTTTTCTTCAGCTTAACATTTATTAGCAGCCTGTTATTTTGTATGCAAGTATGAAAATAAAAAGACCGAATACAGCACGCTTATTGATTTATTGATTGATTCATAACTCGAAGACGATTTTTTTTTTCGGTAAGGGTAAAGTATCAAATCACTTGAACCCCGGCTGAACATCAGCCCTATAGGGCCCCGTCTGTGGTGGTCTATTGGCTCTTTGAGGCGCGCGCGGAACGCTACGCGCCGTACGCTCGGGTCTGGTTCTGGTCGGGCGGTGAGCTACCCTTACTCGCCGTCCGCAGACCCGCAAACTCGAAGACGTATACGGGCAAACTTGAACTATTACAAAATGCCTATATGCATATACCCATGCAATGGGGTCATAATATTGTCATTCGCACATCACAATTCAGTTAAGTCAAGAATTTACCAATCAACCAACCGACCAAACTGGTGCCCTGTTACTCTGACAGCCAATTTGTTATAAGAGGGATAGTGGACCAATTGTACCTTTTTTCCCTCTGGGTGAACTAGAAAGTGTCAGACTCTTACTGACTAAAAACCCCGATTTGATTTGGAGGATTTGGAGATTTAGGGATTGGGGAGAGATTGAGGAAGGGGAAGGATAGGGCCCCCGGTAACCTTACTCACACGACGAAACACAAAGCTGTGGTTTCTTTCACGCCAGTTTTCTGTGAGATGGTGGTATTACTCCGGTCGAGCCGACCCATTCGGGCCGAAGCATATAGCTCTCCCACAATTAAAGTCTAGAGTAACAAATATACTACTTACGTGAAACAGAAGGAGGAAGTCAAGACATGGAATGAGGAGACCAAGCTGCCGACACAGCGCTGCACAGTGATACCAGGTCCAGGATACAGGTACGTGTAGGCGACTGCGTAGGGGAACTCCTCGATGGTAACATGGTCACCACCAACGATTCGGCCATCTGGTGCTGCTGAGGCTAAAGTATGGATATGAAAATTAATGTTTGTAAATTTAATTAATTTTGTATTTAGCTTCTTACCCTTCAGCTGTTTAACTTAATTCTTACTAATATTATAAATGCGAAAGTTACGATGTTTCGATCTTTGGGTGTTTTTTTTTTGTGAGGGGAATATCATCAAATGACTTCTCCCGCCCAAGGCCGGGCAGAAGGGAGTGTCAGACTCTTACTGACTAAAAACCCCCCTGTTCCTTCTCCTGCCCTGTGCCGAGGTCGCGGTGCCTCATTGCGCTTACCCCGCTACCCCGGCTGTTTGGTGTTTGTTTCTCAATCACGCCAAAACGGCTTGAAAGATCTAGATACATAATTTGCCACAGGCATAGGATACCCTAAGGAATAAGACATAAGGGCTATTTTTTATCAAAATATCACGCGAGCGAAAGCGCGGAAGCTAGGACACGCACAAACCATCATCATAATGCTGTAACTAGGTGTATCCACTGTATTGCTTTTGAAAATCAAAATCGAGACTATATTTTCTATAACATCTAAAATCCTCTGCTGCAATTAGAAGTAGCATTAATTAATTATTATGTTTTCGACTTACTCACGTAATAATTTGACGAGATACTCGACTAGTTTTAAACCATGCTAGAGGCCCATATTCATGAGCAGCATTCAGACAGCATGGCTTGAAACTAGTCGAGTATCTCGTCAAATTATTACGTGAGTAAGCCGAAAACATAATAATTAATTAATGCTATTTCTAATGAACTTTAAACTCGCCGTAATACGTACCAACAGCAAAGATAGCGAGGAACAGGTATGCAACAGAAGCCATTGTGATCTGACCCAGTGAACTACAGACCAGACTGCGACCAGGGTAACACTTTATACCCTGGCTGTCCTAATCGAAAAAGTTTATCAATGAAAGGCTGCTTAAATGTACAGCGTGTTTTAATATATATTATATTATATTATATATTTTTTTATATTGTAAGGCTGAAGAGTTTGTTTGTTTGTAAGTAGAATAGTTTAGGCGTGAAGAAAAGACAGACAGACAGAGTTACTGTCGCATTTAAAATAATAGTTTCGATATAGTAGTAATTTAGTCTTTATTTTTAATCAATATTGCGTCTTACCATACTTACTAATAGATACTAAACAAAAAGAATTGATTAATTCTAACCATCTTTAGGACGTCTAAACACCATCTTGACACATTAGACCACATTCAGAAGCTTGCCAAGTGGTTCATTAACGACTATAGATACTCTAGTGGAAGCCCGACTTAGCCACAAATACAGGCGCAAAAGTTGCAAGCCCTTAGATTTTTACCCAATACATGTCGTAGAATATTCGGAGGAGTCGGACGACTTAATTCTCTCCTAGTCCTTTCCATCAGCGTTCCTTCAGACTTTCGGTAAAACGTCGTCGCTTCATGGTGGATATCCTGCTTACATGCACGAAGCGGTTCGCCTCCACTTTTATTATCAGAACCACTAAGGGATGGAATTCTTTTCCCAAATCTTAGTTCCCGAAGGGTACCTGCGTGTCTTGAAGGACCGAGTAAATAGGTTGCTTATCGGTAGACGTGCTCCATCGCAAGTCGCATCATCGCTTTCCCTTTATGGTAACGGGTGCCCATTATTTAGGCTTTTATTATTTTGCCTGCCCTGTGCTAAATAATAAAAAAGAACTATAGTTCCAGATATAAGCCCATTTAAGCCAACTTACCTACTCGTTCAACAATTTAATAATTATTTAGTTTTATATTTATTTGAGCATTTCTCGATAAATTCACGTGACAAAGTTATCATCACTACATTTGTAGTGTCAAACAAAGTCGGTTTCACTGACCCCATATCCCTACATATGGGTCGCTAGTTTTTTTTTTTTATGGAATAAGAGGCACACGAGCCGACGGATAACCTGATGGTAAGCGATCGGTGCCGCCCATGGACACCTGCAACACCAGAGGAGTGTATAGAATTTAGTCGTAATGTCTCACGATGGTAACTATTCAGAAATAAATCTAAGTATAATAATATTAATATACATATATTTATATAATAAAAAAAAAATCTTAAAAGTATAATATAATATATTTATATGTATAATCATTAAAATCAAAATGTTGAACCCCTGTATAAAGAATCAGTAGCGAATTTGTTTCCGATAATGTGCATTGACAATCACGCACGTACAGATTATCTAATACACCAAGATCATTTGATAACGTGAGCCAATCATTTTGTTATTTATAGCAATTATACATATTTACCGGATTAACATCTTTTGTACAACGGATTAATAGCTACCGGTTAGGTAATATGGCTAATCAATCACGGACTTTCTACATGCAGGCTAGGTACATTACTTTACGTCAAAGAGGATAATTATAACCGTGGTTATATCGTCATTGCTTTACGTTTTCGAAAAAGAAAGTAAATGAGTTTTTATTAATTAGGCATTTTATTTGAACTCATAGCGTATGACAATACCTTTATCCCTGTAAAGTCGCCTATCACTACTTAATATAAAACAAAGTCGCTTTCCGCGTCCCTATATCCTACACATAGGTATGCTTAAATCTTTAAAAAACATATCGCACATATCCGTTGCATAATTTTTGCGGTATTTTTTAAAAGAGCGATTAATAAAGAAGTTTTGTTGATCCATCAAGGCCATCAACACAAAAGTGGAGACCACAGATTTTACCCGTGCGAAGCCGGGGCGACCCGCTAATATGAAATAAGCTAAGGAGGATTTTTTTACATCTACAATAGGTAACACCAAGTAACATAATCGGGTTAAATCCTCACTTTTATTGCTTTATGATGTAAGCAACGCAAGTGGTTTCATAAGGAAAAAGAACCTATATCTTTACAGACATATTGTAATCCGGTGATCAGTACCTAGATTTCAATATTATACTTTTCTGATAACATTTACTGCCACTTTTATGTAATCATTTCATGTAATTCCCCGATACCTTACAATGAGCCTGTTGTAGTGTTGCCAAAACCCCAAAAATACCTCCCCATTTTTTTAAGGAGAATCATCCAATGAGTCTTCCGCCTTGGGTCCTGGATCAAGATGGAGTGTCGAGTGTGTCTTACTGACTAAAAGCCACCCTGTTCCCTCTCCTGCTTCGAGTCAGGCCGCGGTAAGTTATTAGACCTGGAACACAGGCTGAGCCTTTTTTCCAGCTAAGAAAAATGCCTTACGCATACACACACCGCCCGGGGAGACGGTGAGGTTACGTGGGGCTTGCACCCACTAAAAAAAACTCAGTTTTCGTACAGTCTGTCTTTTGGGAGAAGTCACGAGGACCAAAAACGACTTTTGTGAACTCTCGGCAGTGGCTGGTCGCCTCCATCTCAGCAGCAGCTCGGGCAATGCAGGCAGCAATTCCCCGTTCTGCTACCCACTGGCTGTTGCTAGGGCGGCATCTGGGTGACATAATGCCTCTGACGCACCCTGGCTGGACCTAACCTAACCAAACCTAACTAAACGCTTTGTGATTTATTTTTTATTGGCATACGTAATGAGTAAGTATGCTGGATTTATTAGCCATACAATTTCATGCTATATCATGCAAATACCTATTTATTTTTGAAGGAGGGAAATCATTAATTTACTTCTTAGGCCCTGTATGGGATGAGATTTTTTTTTCCTGTTCCTTCTCCTGCTCTGCGCCGAGGTTGCGGTGCCTCATTGCGCTCACCCCGCAACCCCGGCTGAACATCAGCCCTTTAGGGCCCTGACTGTGGTGGTCTATTGGCTGTTTGAGGCGCGCGCGGAACGCTACGCGCCTTACGCTCGGGATGGGATGAAAGTGAGTGTCAATCTCACTGACCAATAAGTAAACCACCCCGTCCCTTCACTTAGTTCAGTTGCTCCAGGCCGAAGCAGTGGTACCTTATTGTGTTTGCTTAATTAGGTGATTAGTTCTCTTTCCTAGTTCCCACAGTCAATAATTTACCTGAAAATTATCGCACTTTCATTTATCTATACGATAATATTATATCGAGGTAAAATTTTTAAGTTTGTATGTAGGGGGTAATCTTTGGAATCTCTGGTCGGATTGTCAAAATTCTTTCACTGATAGATAGCTACAATGTTCTTATGTGATATAAAACATATAGCACACAGGAACAGCAACAAAACATCCCGCGATCAATTGGAGCCGGGCAGCGGGTGAAACAGCGCGAGATTAGCTAAAGTAGTTAATTATATTTTTTTTATTGGAGAGAAAATTGTTGTTCAATTTTGACGTAAAATAATCATTTCATCACAACGTGCTATTTCCTTAGGATAACTAATTTACGGTGAATTTATTCTAAGGCTATTATATTGAAAATTGACGTTTTAAAAAGTATTGAGTTTGGCTTGAATCATTAAAACTCGTCTGCCGTATGTCGTTTTGTCGAATAAATGTGTTTTCTTTCTTTCTTTCTTTCTTGGTAGTTCGAAATATGGCAAGTATCAATGTGGATGTTTCCGAGTTAGCAATACCTATGTACTTTCTAAGTTTTTCTAGGCACCACTTGTAAACGGTTAAGGAAAGCCTGAACTTATAATTCATAATTGTGAGTTTGATAGCAAATCCTCCTCTGTGGTGATTAATGCACAAACCTTCTTAGAGTGAAAACAGACCTTTGCTCAGTAGTGGGTATAATCCTCACTCACATTGTGAAACGACGTAGGTAAGTGTTGCTTCACGTCGGTTTTGAGTGAGGGCGTGGTACCACTCCATTTGAGCCCGTCTATCCGCAAGGCTCTCCCACACTTATAATGGTACCGTCATGGCAATAAGTCAAAATCTGTAATCACTTTTCTTCATCATCATCATCCCTATGGGCATAAGTGCCCACTGCTGAACAAAGGCCTCTTCTCACACGGAGAAGGTTTGATCATTAAACACTATACTTGCTCAATGCAGGTTGGCGATTGCAAACTTATAATTAGAAATTATAAGTCCAGGTTTCCTCACGTTGTTTACGTTCACCGTATGTCAGTGGTTTCTAAATAATGATAAAAAGTACATACCTACTTATAACTCGGGAAAAGTCACATTGGTACTTGCCACGTTTTGAACCCACACCCGCATGAGAAGCAGGCTCCTTAACCTCCGGGCCACCGCCATACCTACAACTATAACGTATCTCTAAAGGAAAAAGAGGGAATGTAAGTGTGATTCATTTTAAATAATTTATTGCGTTTTGTTAGTCGAGACAACTTTTTCAGTCAGTCAGGTTCAGTCAAATGCGCTATCGTTATCGCGATGAACTTATCACCATGAACTCTCACAAGAAAAAAGCACGAACATTACGCTACGCAATATTCTGGGAGAAGATAGTTCAGAAGGCACTTTCTCAGCCGGCATAACGGGGCAAGCGCAATTAACTAAAATAGCTTAACTAAGAGGACTGACCGACAGACTGACACTATATCTTCAAAATTTTGTTTGACGTTCAAAAGTGCCTGTAAAGGTTTAATTGGAATAAATGATTTTTTACTTTTTTTTTTAAACAGGAGAAGGAACGGGGTTTGGGTCAGTAAGTCTGCACTCCCTGTCACCTCACCCTGGACGAGAGAATTTATTTGATAATGTTGTTATCTTAAACCTATTTTTAGTTAGTGTCTAAGTAATCATTCCGTTTTACGGTTTTAAGGGTCTCCCAATTAATTAAACATATATTTTTACGGCCAAAATGAATATCCTATCTTAATCTTATATATAAAAATGGATCGCAAAATGTGTTGGTAAGCGCATAACTCAATAACGCCTGGACCAATTTTGCTAATTCTTTTTTTGTTATGTTCGTTATTTTAAGGAGAAGGTTCTTACAAGAGAAAACTTTAGAACAGTAAAAGGGAAGAGCGGTAATTAACAACCCTTTCGACGCCGTCGCCGTTCCCTTGCAAAACAAATGACTGACACCGGGGTTGTCGGATACCCGTGCGAAGCAGGGGCGGTCTGCTAGTTAAAAATATTTGTTGTAATTATGAAACAGTAAAGCAATGAAACCATAGTTAGGAGCGGGAGGGGGGAGGCGTAATGAGGCGATGGCCCAGGGTGACCAATTGGGTAGTTTAGGTACTGGTCATAAATAAATTAATTCGACGTTTCAGTACAATAAAATATTGAAAAATAACTATACTTATATTCATCGATCGATCGATACACTGAATTTCGATGTATTTTAGCTATTTTAAAAAATATAAGTATCATAATTGCCGCAAAAAAACTATGACGTCATAACTCAGTTTTTCATACAAATTTCATAGGAAAAAAGTATACTTTTTGACATTTGGATAAAAGTATTGAATTTGACTAGTTGGAAACTACCGTATTCTGGGGGCGTCAAGGTCTGAAGTCGGAGTCTCTTGCCTCTCCTGGTGCAAAAATTTAGAACTGTGCTCTACGCTCTGTGCATATGCATATTTTTAGATGGATTTTTTGAGGGCTTGTGGTCGAGGAGTGACTCTAACGATATCAATACGATCAGCAAAAAACTAACACTTATTGATATTGCTTTCCTCAAGTGGACGCCACAATATTTTCTCCCGAGGTGCCAGTGGCACGCTGGCACTGAATAGATGTATAAACATTTTGTCAAAAATTTTAAAGGTAAAGCGAAATAGGTTTGTCTCTAACAGTGCCATGTTTATAGTTAGGGCAACACTGCTATAAGTCAAGGTCGGATGGTATATGGTGATAGAAAAACAAACATCTCAGTCTGTTTACCCCACAGAAAATACAAGTGTGATATATCGCATTGATCATTCTGATAACCCAATTTTAATTAATTTATGAGATAGAGTACTTGTTTAGATAATTATCTATGGTTTTGTTATTGCATAAGTAGCATTAAATCATTATTATCAGATGCCTATCAAGCGACCGAAGACTAAAACTCGGCGAGAATTATGAGAAATTTCTTAAGAAATTTCTTCCCATTTTTTTAATCGCCGCTCCTCACTAAGGTTTCGTCCTTTGTTATGGGTTCTCTTCATGAAGAAAACAACCGGGGTTTTTGCTTCAGTAAACCATATGTAACATACCATATGTAACATTATGTTACAAACCCGCAATTCCACATACACATTACACCTAGATCAAGAATAACAATATGTGGAAGCGCGCAATAAATTGAACCGAGGATCTGGATACCCAGCCACTACGCTAACTTTACCTAATCAACTTAAATAAAATTTTAGGCGAAAACCTGGATTGTGGATGCAGGCACAGCGATATAGCGCGGCCTCGGATTGGAGCAGGAGAAGGAACGGGGTGGTTTTTAGTCAGTAAGAGTCTGACACTCTGTTGTCTGTGTTGTTCCTCTCACCCCGATCAGGGCGAAAGAAGTCCATTGTTGTTTTTCCCCCTTAAAAACAATTCGTGAATTGTTTTTACACCATTTACGGAGACGTGGTGCGTTGCGCAATGAGTCTGCTCGTGGATGCGGTGATACGGCCGGTGACATTCTGGGCGTCGGGGATCAAGAGACGATCTCCAGCTACCGTAAACGCGGGTCTGCGGACGGCGAGTAGGTAAGGGTAGCATGCCGCCCGACCAGAACCAGACCCGAGCGTACGGCACGTAGCCTTCCTCGTGCGCCTCAAAATACCACTTCAGACGGGGCCCCATAGGGCTGATGTTCAGCCGGGGTTACTGGGTAAGCGCAATGAAGCAGAACAGGAGAAAGAACGGGGGTGCTTCAGTCAGTAAGAGTTTGACACTCCCTTCCGCCCGACCCTGGGCGGGAGAAGTCATTTGATGCTTTTCCCCTCACAAAAAAAAACAGACACTGCTGCGATGTACGACGAACTTACGACGCTAACCAAAACACGTCAACGTCTTCTTCAGGTGCTGGGGTTCATTATGTGTAGGTAAAGTAAGTAGGTAGGTACCAGCCTTAATTTTAGTTAAAAATAATAGACAAATGTCTTCCAAAAAGGCTTGATGGCCATGAAGAATCTTATTATATAGCTGGCGAGTAAGTTTTGACAAATCTAATGTAAGTACCCACTATGAAAAAGTAGTGTCACCATAATTGTGCTGTTTATTTTGTTACTCTCAAAATTGTTTGTCTTGAATATCCTCATATTCAAAAATTAATACCTAACATGGGAAATCAAAGTTTCAGGAGCAGGGACATGGGTTGGGGATCTCCTGATTCTTCAGGAGAAACGCATACAAAGTTGAATTTGGGTCCAAAATCCAAACATGGAGGCTTTGAACAAATCCCAAGAAAGAAAACCTACAAGAAGTCAAAAGTTAAACCTATTTCTTTGAGATCTACAAAATCAATACGTTCCGACATTCAACGAATAAGAGAAAAGATATTAGGAGATAAAGTACCGGTAATTATGGCATTATTAATGGAGTACCCGTATCGACTGCGCATTGCTAAAAATCCAATCAAGCATTGTTTTTCACAAATCAACAACGCGTTACCCTGCGAAGAGACGTGTCGTCGGGTTCAATCAAATCCTTGCGCAATTTACTGTCGAAAGTGTGACAAAAAGTCTTCTAACACTTCCAGAAAACCAAAACGTTAATTTATCGGATTTATTACAGTTTTTGTAAATTTGTCTTGTGTTGAGTAGAAATAAATTATTTGGTATGGTTTGACGTTTGTTATTGGGAAAACGTAAGTGTGGAGTGGCAACACCGCAGTGGCGCGCCTTCATGCGAGGTGACTTCGCTTCGCCGTGTGTCATTATAAATCAAAGTTTTTATGTTTTTTCTCGAATTATCGCATTTAAATCCATTTTTAATCTCTGAGTGATATTATTGTGATTATGTGCTGTTATCTTTTGAGTGGCGGAGGCGTACGATAAGGGTAAGATAATATTGTAAATACTAATGTTTGTTCATATCAGACGGTGCTTCGAAAAACTCAAATTCATTCATACCAAGAGAGCAATAATAGAATAATTATAAAATATTCATCTTTGTGTATTTTGGACGTTTTGTGACCTTTAGGGGTCGACCGTGAATGTAAAATGAAGTTATTTGTAACAATTGTTGATTAATTTGACGACATAAATTTCAATGTTTTTGCTTGTTTTTAATTGTGAGGGGGGTTATTTTATGATATGGGCATGATAGCTGTGTTACGTGGTAATATCAACTTATTGACCTTGCATACCAATATGAATCTTATTGGAACATCCAAACTTTGGTAGTTTCAAAAGAGCAAAACTTTTTTCAGCTATTTTCTAATAAGATTACATTAAATATGGTCTTGTAAGACACAATTTCTCCTAAAAATAATCTTAGAAACGTTTAAAAGCGTGAACTATTCTTTTCTATACTTTGAAAAGGTAGTACTACCTTCAAAAATAACTTTTTATTACCAAGTTATCTGGAGGTTATGTACTGGGTAACTTTAAAACTTCCTTTAATCCTTGGTTTAACTAATAAAGTAGCAAATACTAGTCTAACACAACCCACAAGTCTTGAATAAGGAATTAAATATTTCTTAAAGCAGATTTACTTACAATATTATTAAATGTGGGTAAATGAAAAAAACATAGTAGATACTCATTGACTACAATATTGATTGTAATTTATACTATTTCCTAGTTTACAATTACTACTTAATAGTATAGTATTACTACAACAACTACTACATATAGTAATAGTAAAAACAATTTAGAATTACCCACAATATACCAATGACATTATTCAGTTAAGTATTATTCATAAAATTAAATCTTAAAACACTGTATTACCTTCTTACCTTGTAATAATAACTCATAAAAAATAAACTACAGGTTATTTTTCATTAATTAAGTTCTCACTAAATAAGTTAAATTTGAATTATTTCATTCTAAGTGTTTTAAGATTTCATTAGGTTTTTGAAATTATTGGTACACTTAATTTTTTTTAAACTTTTGACAGCCAAGTTGTTATTTTTTGAAAGAAAATCCTTTGCTGCAGCAGGTTGCCGTTAGGTGACTTCAGTGTTGGTTAACATGTGTATTATTTAAATGTTAAGCCTGGTTTAGAATATCCCATTTGGGCTAACTTAATTGTCACCGCTGGCTTTATCTAGTTTTTTATATAATTTTGACGGTAAATCCACCCCGAAGGCTACCACTCTGACTAAAAGTGCAGTTTTATGGCCTATTTGCATAAAAATATTCATTGCTTCATTGTTTCACATATTATAGAAAACTGTTATTGGAAATCCTGAACTTAAAATAGATCGGGTAATTTAAAAAAATGTGTTATTTTTTAAATCTTCTGGCCATATATAATTAAAAAAATAAAACCCTGTCATATTGTGTGAAACTGCTAGGTTATCATACTCTTAACAAAGCTGTGTTTTTATTATTGAGTAAAGTGTAATTATGAAAGGAGTTGTTTGACAAGGCTGCATACCTGAGTCCATGAAGAACTGATCTTAACCTACCGTTGAGAACTTGAGTGAGTTCAGTGTCTGAGTTTCATACTCAGATCAATGCAATTCATAATGCATTTTCTATTGTTTATAAATTAATCCAATTACGCCTAAAGAATACAACAGTTTGAGATTGAAGCATCAAAACTATTTATTTATTTATACCCTCACAAGTATATTAATCGCAAGGACAGAATCAATGTAAATAATATTTAAATACCCTCCATATTAGTGTGCGTTATAATTAATTCGATGACAATCAATATTCAACAACACCAAAATAACTTATTAAATATATTGTGAATTGCTACACAATTAGTCAATATTAATTTCTTATTCCATATAGTTTAATTCTTGTGCTTCTAAATTGTCAAATTAAGCTATAAAACACTGTTTGAAAACATACTATGACCACCAACAAAATCACTACGGTATCAAATCAATCTCTCTTACAGTCCGGCTAATTGGCTCTAATCAAACCAAGAGCGGTACAATTTATACAGCAGACCATGTTAACAAATTTGTCTAGTCTTGTTACATACCAATGTAATAGATGAAACCATCTATTGTTTAGTTACATTTACAGCATTTACACTTTACTTTGCAAATAGTAATTGCTAATTAGAATTTGTCTTAGTGTAAGACAATTAATATTTATGTAGATACACTTGTATGGGACAAGTATATTTACAAGCCTATGTTCCTGTTTTAGCTATATTCTGCTAGCATTATACAATTTCCAATCAAGATTTGGACAGTATTTTAATTGTTATTACCTTCTGCTTGCGGCTTCAGCCTCATGGCTTGTTGATAAAAAACAGCCCATGTGTATCACAAATAATTGTGATACACATGGGTATCACAATGGTAATCAATAAATGTGATTGCAGGGTATCACAAATAATTTCAACCAAATCGCTCCAGCCGTTTTTGCGTCACAGAATAACAAAAATAAATACATTCTCACAAACTTTCACATTCTAAGTGAGTAAAAATTTCATTAGATTTTTGAAATTATTGGTTCACTTAATTTTTTTAACCTTTGACAGCCAAATTGTAATCTTTAAGGAATTAGAATACTAGTAGGGTTAGTAGGAAGTAGGTTGTTTTTGCGGTGGCAATTTGTCGTTTAGGCTTATTCTATCCTAGGCTGGATGTGACAGTACCTACAGAGTAAGTGTTAGCACAAACTTCAGAATGTCCCTATTACACCGGAACTACCATAATAATGTTACATACAAGTGATTAAAAGTGGGTTTGTTTTCTTCCTACCTTACCTATCTTCAAGGATGGTGTAATGTTATGTGATTCAAATATGGTAAACAGCGCGTAAGGGTAGCTCGCCGCGGGACCAGAACCAGTCCCGCGTACGGCGCGTACTTAGCGTTCCGCACGCTCCTCAAAGAGCCATTAAACCACTGCAGATAGAATTCAAATTCAACACGGCTGATGTTCAGCCGGGTTTACGGGTCAAGCGCATTATTGTATAGCGACCTCGACCTAGGACAGAAGAAGGAACGGGGTGGTTTTTAGTCGAGTAGTGAGAGTTAACACTCCGATATTTCCTCCTCAAAAAAAAGGATACCAATTTTTTGCTGCGTCAATGACTGCTTTGCATCACGTTGAATAATTTACACAAACTTACCAACGCAGGTGAATCTATGCACCAAAACTAAGTAGTATAGTTATTAACAGATTTAAGTCATTTATAGTTTTGTTTTTCATTATTTATTTACCAATAGGTACATCAATTTATACATTTGAAAACGCTATACCTAACTACAAAAACCGTCTAGGGTTTATCCGTGGCACGTTCGCCGCAGTAGGTAACTAGCTGCCATACTGGTTTTATAGAATTAATTTTAGATATAAATAAATTATTTAAATTAGTTTATGTTCTGAAGAAATACCTTACTGACCTTTCCACTGCAAGTATCTCTGGAGAACTATAGAGCAATTCTTTGCATTTATGTTTTTAACAAATTTGATATCAGTCGTCAATTAGAACATTATAGGCACTTTTAAATGCCAATCAAAGATGTAAAGATAAAAAATGACTGTCGATCAATCCTCTTAGTGAATGTATTTGCTCGTTCCAAAGTATAGATTCCGATGGAAAAGAACGAGCAAGAAATTCCATGGTTACTCTTTTTCAATCAGTTTCTCAAACAGATTCTTTGTTACGGTATTAAGTTTGTTTGTTCCATTATGTAAGAACAGTGTTACCATAATATTCAGTCAAAGTAATGAGAAAAGAAAATAACCCTAAGGACAAGACAGTTTGGAGCTGGCCAGTCCCAATTGACGACGCCCATTGTAGAAATCATTCTTGCCAATCTTTTTGCAAAACCAGATTTCTCTTTGTAAACCCTTTTTTTTTAATTTTAATTCTAATTAAAAAAAACTTTGCCCCACATTAGGGTTTTCTCCTGTGTAGTGGGTGCGTTTACAAACATACAATTTCACATGCACATTACACACAGAGTTGTTCCGTGCGGGAATCGAACCCGCGACACGTTGCGCGGCAGCCAGTTGCCCTGCCACCGCGCCAACCGTGCCGTCAATTAAGTCAGGTTTTGTATTTTGGATCTTATTCTCACCTACCTTCAATTTGTTATACACTAACTGGCACAATTGTTTAAACCTAGACTAAAGAAAACGTTGTTTTGTAAAGTCGCGTATAGTTTTAAACAAATTACACATTTTGAAGTTTTTTTCATTTTCTCCACGAATAAACCTTCTCCGGACTTCTATGAATACAAGACAGAAGAAAATTTGCTAAATCGGTAAAGTAGCATTGATTTATATATACATACATAAATAAGAACTGAAAAGTTCTAATATTTTCTGAAAATTATAAGAAAAAGTACTAAATGCAAGTAGTTTGTTATGTATGACACAACAAGTCAATCTTGTTTGCCCGCTAATTGATCCAAATAGAACGAACTCGACGCACTAATTAATTGACTGGGAAGCGGGAACTACGAAGATTCCAACTGGTTAGTGTTTACAGATCTTATTTGTTTGTTTTTCTTACCTTGATTGGGATGTTAATCACTTCAAAATTTCATCAAAATTATTACCTACCTACATTTTTACTTGATTTTTATGTACATACTGGTGCGAACTTTTCTGAGAAATAATTTTTTTTTTATTTATTTCTTACCAACATACAACTATTATCACAGGAGTTTCCTAATACAATAGTGTAGTAACATTATAAAGAAATACATAAAATCAAAAACAATACAAAGAAACCTTACACATTATAAAATAAATTTATATAAACTTTCCTATATTTAAACAACTTAATCTACCATGGAAGTTATAATAAGTTGTTTGATAGGAAGCTATCGTATTTGTTATTCGAAATCGTAAGTATCGTTTGAATTTGAAATTCGAAATTGGAACAGGGAACATGTGGCAAGCATTCG